TGGAGAAAGAGTCCCTCACCCAAGAGAAAGAATCTTAGAACAAGGGTCACTGCAGGTGCTGTGGCTTTGAAGACAGCTGTTAGCTGTGAAGGAGCCCTCTCTGTGGAGCTGGGGGACAGGTAAGGTGGGGGGCCAGGGAGCCACCAGCATCTTGCCCTAGAGCTACAGAACTCGGGGAGAAACCGGGGGTGGGGGACATAGAGAGAGAGAGAGACAGGTTGAGGCCTAGGTTTTTTGAACTAGGCTGGGAGTTACTCACTGTCCCTTGGAGAAGTTCTTGTGGGCACCAGGAGGGGGTGCTCTTGGAGCTGCCTTTGCAAACATCCTCCACCACTTGTGGGGGAAAAATGATGATGGCCCGTGAGCCTTAGTCATGGGCCAGCATGGAGTTGCCTGTTGCGTTGGTGATCCCTGTGTCTTCTACTGGGGGCGTATGCCTCAAGGAGGAGGCGGTCCACCACAGAGAAACAGAAGCACGAACAGAAAGCTAGGCTAAGTTCGTAATGTAACTATCTGTGTTTTCCAGTGGTCTTAGGCTACCACTGGGAAGGGGTCATTCTATCCCCAGGGGGTTTAAGACCCACATGTTGTGAACCACTGGACTAGAAGTTGGGATTTAATGAGGTACACATCTCACAGAGGGACACAACAACCAACGGAATAAATAAGGTAGCTTCTTGTAGCAGCAGATGAGGAGGAGGAGAATGAGGAGGAAGAGCACCACCTAGAGGCCAATGTGGAGGGTGCCAGGGACAGGTCAGTGTGGTCACAGGAAAGGAGAAGGAAGAAGAAGAGGAGGAGGAGGAAGAGGAGGGAAAGGAAGAAGAGGCTAGGAAGATGGCTCAGTGAGTAAACTACTGGATGTCCAAGAATAAAAACCTGACTGCAATCTTGAGATTAGAGAAGCTAAGAGCACTGTTGTTGCTGCTCTTCTTAGTCTGGTAAGGTGAAGATGGCCAGACTTTGGGAGCTCACTAGTCAGGCAGCACACCCTACTGGTGAGCACTAATAGAATGAGAGACAAGGTCTCAAACATAAGCATATAAACAAATAGCTGGTCAGTAGTAGCACATGAGGTAGAGACGTACACCATTAACCCCAGCACTCAGGAGGCAGAGGCAGGCAGCTCTCTGTGAGTTTGAGGTCAGCCTAATCTACATAGTGAGTAAAGGGATGCACAGAAAAGCCGTCTTTAAAAACCTAACACTAACAAAAAAAAAAAACTAACAAATAACAAGCTAAGTTTGGTGTGGTGCTATATATCAGTAATACCAGCCACTCAGAGGCTCGAGCAGGAGGATAAGAAAGTCAAGCTCAGCCAAACTCATGTACCCAGATTCTGTTTCAAAACCAAAACAAGTAAAATTTTAAAACAAACAAAATGAACGGACCTGTAACACAGGGTCTCAATTTCTGTTTTCTGCTGTGTAAAAGTACTTTTTATTCGCCTGTTGGAATTGTTGTCTCTGAGACTTACTGCCTCTGTCTGCTAACCTAAATCTAGTACTGGAAGCTGCTAGTAGCTATACTATCTAATCTAGCCCTAGGATGTTTTCAGCCTCTGATATTCACTGAACTCTGGCTGGCTGGTTCAACTCAGCTGTTCTATCTCAAACCCCTCTCTAAGATGACTGATTCAATCTGGCCTTTCTAGGCTTCTTCTGAATTGCTCTGTTTGACCTCAAACTATCTCTGTCAATCTGTTTCTAATCTTCTGACTCCAAATTCTAAAGCTCATTCCGTTTTCTCTGTTTCTGTTTCTCTGTTTCTCTGTTTCTCTGTTTCTCTGTTTCTCTGTTTCTCTCTCTCTCTCTCTCTCTCTCTCTCTCTCTCTCTCTCTTTCTATCTCTCTACAACCTGTCTCTGTACAACTGTCCCAGTAAAACTGCCTCCTCCTCCCTCTCTGTGATGCTCCACTCACCCTCTCAACTCTACTGAACTGTTTCCACGAACTCTACTGTCTTCCTGTTCTGTATTCTCTTCTTCTGAACAGTCTGTCTCACAATTAAGTAGTTTCCCTTTCCTCTCTCTTCTCATGGGAGTTGGGCATATCCTGTTCTGTGAAATCTCTCTGATTGATCACTTCGTCTGCAACTCATTTAGACATCACTTTCAAATATGGATACTTCCTTCTACAAATTACATTGACCTTCATTGTATGGGATTAACGGTGAGTACTAACGGCATGTCTGTATTCCAGCCAAAGGGATTAGAGTGTGTTCTAAGGGCTGAGTTACACATTAACTAGAAACCAGTTCAAAGATCCTGTAACACTTAAACTAGATTTACCGATGATAACATAGTCTTCGTTTTCATTCTCAGTGAAGACATTAGAACATCTGGGGAGGTTGCTGACAATGGCACTTTGAGGTTGAACCCATGACTCTGCCACTTCCTGGAAATGTTTTCTGTGCTTATCCCTTACTTGATAGAATCACCACAAACCTACAGACATACAGAGCAAGATCTTCGGAAGACAAGTCCAAGAACCTGTCTGACCCAGCACAGCAAATGTTGAGCAGAAAATGAAAGACTAGGATCCAGACATGGTTCTTACATCATCCACCAAGGGACTGTAGGAGGGGAACAGAAGTCAGAGGGCATGAGGAGTGGTACACAAAAAATTGAGATGGTCAGCTAGTGAGGCTACAGAACAGGATCTGGATCCAGCCAGTATCACCCAGGGCATCTCCTGGATGCCCATTCTTCTGCTTTATCCTGTGAGCCAGGACACTTCAAAATCCTGGGAGGGAAGCAATGGCCACTGTCCCCTGTGGTGGGAAAAGCTGAACAGGTGCAGAGGTTAATAGTCCAGCTCATTCTTGCTAGCCCTTCCTGGGACAGTCCCCTCTCCCCTAACTCTGTCTCCGAGTGTTCCACACTGCTCAACTAGTACAAAACACAGGACACAAGTAATCTTTCAACTTTTATTCTGAAATGAAAGGATTCCAAAGAAAGCCATGGTTTTAAGATGAATAAAAATTGTTGTTGTTGTTGTTGTTATGTTTTCTATCTTAGCCAGACTCTATCTCACCAGCAAAACCACCTCCTAAGCACAGCCTGCTGACACCGCATTAGGGCATGAAGTTCTGGTGGTGGCCATTCCACCTGACACCATGGAGAAAGGTGATTGTGAAGTGGATTCATTCAATCTTCCATGATGTCATGAGTAGCCAGGCCCATGCACATAATGAGGTGGGGACAAGAGGCAAACCATGTCCTAGGTATTTAAAACCTCTGCAGTTCTGTGGATTCTCAAACTAGGCTATGATGAAGCAAACCTTAGGAACCTGCCTAAATTCACAGACTATTGCCAGCCCCTTTGAATCACTACCCCTTGGCAGAATTCTTTGGCTCTTTCCTCTGAACTTTAAGTGGTAAAGTTTCCTCTGGTTTTGAGTGGTATGAAAGCAGAATTATTTTAGTGAGTACTGTGAACAATGTGCCCCCACGTCATTATCTTCCTCCACCCACCCTACTTCCCCAAGTCTCCACACACATGAAGATTCAGAGGGCTTGGGCAGGCTTTGGAAAATTCCAATAATAAATGGCATCCACAAGAAATGTGGGCATGTAGCTCAAGGGAAGATAGAATAGCTTGGCATCCCAACCAGCTGAGTATCGGGTTCGAGGATGACAGGCAGTCAGAGCATGCTCCATGCAGTCAGTCACCACAGACAGGTCCTCTGAGCATGTGTCCACAGATGACTTTATTGTTTCCACATCTGTGTAGAATGAGAGATTATTCCAGTCAACTCCACATCCCACCACATCTGTTATATGAGCAACTGAAGAGGGCTTCTCTAAAATCCATGTCTCCCACACTCAGAAGCCATGCCTAAGTCTAGCCTGTCTCAGTTCCTCAGAAAGGGCCACAGCCTCTAAGATAGTGGTGCACACTCAGCCTCCTGTGTCAGAGAACAACCTGGCAGAATACCTGGACATTCTCTCCTAACAGTGAGAACAAGCCCAAGCTCATGGAAAGTGGTGATCTAATACCTCCATCCCTGGTTTTACCTTCATCATTAAGATAATGACTGGTTAAGAGAAAACAGAGTTCTAGAAACCAGAACATCTTTATATGACCAGAATCCCATAGGCTCCCAAGGAAAGGGGACTAATGAAGAAAAACAGCCTGGGCTAGATTTTATACCACTAGCAGAACAGCACAGAAGACTCAGAGTATAGAATGAGGCTTTCCTGTGATTCCTACAGGTTACTTACAGGAGTCCAGATACTTCTCGCCATAAATCTCCTTGACCTCTGAGGTGGCCTGGTCCCACAGCTTCTCTAAGTAATGTGATAGCCTCTTGACATCAGAGACATTTGTCTTGAAACCACCAGGCTCTATGATAGCCACCTTCACCCCAAAATAGGAGAGCTCCCTCCTGTAAGACAGCAGCCAATGGTAATCTAAGACATCAGATCTCTTTTGAAGAAAATAATACAATTGACAACACAATGATCCACTGGAGACAAAAGTTCAGAAGTTTTTTGGGTCTGGGATGTGCAGCAGATGGGGATATCGCCTGTGGCAAGAGCTTTGTCTCTGTGCTTTTGAATGTCACTCCAATGTCACACAGACAAAGCTCTCTGGTCTAAATCTAAATATTCAGTTCTGTGATACAGGTAGTCATCCATATACTGTACAAAGGGCTCACTAGACTTGTCTAAGTCAGTTCTCTCTCAGTCCTGGACCCCACCTTCTCCAACTACTGCCTAAGAAATCTGAGGCTAGTTCCTTTTTGGCTTACTCAGATATCTTCAGGGACTACTCTGTGTAGGCAGTCGTGGTACCCCACATTTAGAGACCATTTTGCCTTGCAGCTAGCAGGAAATCTATCTCAGTTTGCTACAGTGGTATAATACAGACGTGTACTGTATACTGTACAACCATGTATAAGATATAAGGTAAAGACTACTGATTGACCTGTCATCAGTATGGTATACAAACTTGTCTAGAACTCTCAGACTCTCCAAAAGTCACCCTGTGACAATATACCCCGCTGCCAGGGCTGGCCTGCCCTTCGCTCCAGAATGACAAATCAGCACTAACAGCACTCTGCAAGCAATCACACTGGGCCCAGGATGTTAATGTTTTAACCCGGGATCTCCTTTTCTGTTCTAGTGTTTAACCTTTACCACAGACCCCTGTACAAAGCCCTCCAAAAATCTGACAAACAACACTGTCACTACTGCTAATAATCTCTCAGTCTTGCTCACTCTCTCTATCTTCTCGCCTCTTTCACTCTCTCAGTTGTTAGGATTTTTGTTGTTGCTGCTGCTGCTGTTGGTCTTTTTGTTTGTTTATTAGGGTCAAAAATCTCTTTGTTGTGCAAGAATATGGAAATTGTGGGCTTTAAACAAGAACTTGCTAAACACTAGGAGGTGGGCTGAGTGTGATGCTCACACCCCCAGGACATCCCCAACCTGATCATCAAAGAAGGTGGGAACTATGTTCTTGGCCAAGGCCAGTAATGGCCCTGGTGCTTCCACAGGGCAGGCCTCCAAAGCAGGACAAGTTTAAGTGAACTGAGTCCTCAATCACCTGACAAAGGCATAGAGAGTGGTTTCCCATCTACTGACAACTTTACTACCAAGAGGAAAAGGTAAGAGAGTACTCCAAACCAGAAGAAAAAGACTGTTCATGAGGGGTTCTCAAAGGTTGCAATTAAAATAAAACACCTCGCTGAAGGATAGCCACGGGACCTCATAATCAACTAATACCTGAGGGAGTCTGAGAAGGCCTCTACACCATACTTGGAGATGGAGTAACCACCACCACAAAGAGTCACTCGACCCAGGATGCTGGAGACATTGACAATGCGGCCCCTTGCCTTCCTCACTAAGGGCAGCATGTTCAGTGTCACCTCGATCATGCCCAACAGGTTCACATCCAGTACAGTTGCAAAGTCCTGTTTGCTCATCCACTCATTGACAGCAAAGACACAGATGCCAGCATTGTTGACCAGGCCCCAGAGTCCTGAAAACAGTGAGAAGAAAGAATCACAGGACTTGTTTTGACTAAAATTCACATTCCACGGGGTAAGGTAATACCATTCAGAAAGTCATTAGATGGAGAGTGGAGGACAAATTGCAGCATATTGTAGGCTGGGTTGGTGCATTCCATCCAGGAGGAAATGGCTCACAGCAAGGATACCTTCCTCTTCTTTTGATTCTTGACAGGTTGGCTCCCTGCTTGAGAACCACGCACTTCATGTTTTCTAATAGCAAGAATGGAGGTCCAAGACATAGTATGCCTCTGTTACGAGGGATACGTGGAAAGTACGTTTACATCTTACAGACTAATAATATCTTTGCAGATGAGGGAGTAGAAGAAAACATCAAAGAAAATGAGGTGTGGGGTGGATAGAAGGCTAAAGGCAAACCTATTATTCAAATGGAATTTGAGACATGTGAACTAAAGGTCCTGCTGCGTTTGTACTTTGAAGAAAGTTGTCCTTGCCAGGCTCAGCATTAACACTGAATGGTCTAACCAACATGATGCATTGTGTTCTAAAAAGAAGACAAGAAGTTGAGAGAAGAGTGTCAAAGAAGGATGATAGAGGAAGCAGAGAGGAGATGGTGTGGCTGGGGAGACGGCGTGGCTGGGGAGAAGGTGGGGCTGGATGGTAGTAACAGATACATAATACTTGTGTATGAAATTACTAAAAATTAAATAAAAAGTTTTTAAAATATGTTGTTCAACTTTCCTGTGGTACTGGCAAAACACAAGGACAGGATGATGCATGGGGGAGACATTTTTACAAGAAGTAATAATAATGAAAGAAAAGAAGGAAGAATGTGGCGAGGATGCTGGGACACAGCACCAAGATGTGTTTAAATTCTTGAAGGTTTCTTAAGGGTTCTTCCAAAAATGCTGAATATCATTATTTGAAGAAATGTTCTTGAGGTAGTGAAGTTGATCATTTTTTTAAGTGAGAAGAATTTACATGTTTTTAAACCTGTATAGAATCAAAGTGTGTACAGATTTTGTGTCAGGATAGTGAGAATATA